TTGATCCCCAGCCAGGGATCTACCCACATGGCACAGCAGACCTCTCCTGTCTCGCCCACTGCTCCCCTCAGCAGTGCATTTCAGTCATTCTGCCTGTTCTGTTCCCCACTCTGTCTCTGGTGAATCTTCTCACACCCCACACCTCTGGCCTGTACCCCAGTTCTTGTATGCATAAATAAATAAGTCTTTAAAAATATATATACATAGGGCCTCCCCCGTGGCGCAGCGGTTGAGTGCTGGGTTGCGAAGCTGCCCGCAGGCTCTGCAGTGCTGGTTCGATCCCCAGCTGCTCCCCGGCCACCGGGGGAAGGTCCCATATGGCGCGCAGACCTCTCCTGCCGCCCGCTGCTCCCCTCAGCAGTGTACTTCGGTCCTTCTGCCTGCTCTGCTCCCCGCTCTGGCTCTGGTGAATTCTCTCACCCTCCCGCGCTTCTGACTGTACCCAGTGCTTGTATAAATAAATAAATAAATCTTAAAAAAAAAAAAAAGAACAGAATGGGAGGGCAATCTTTAAAATATATATATATATATATATATATATATATATATATATATACACATAAAGAAAAGAAACAAGCATCACAGTTTCTTAAATTCCAGATGCCAGAAATTCAGGGAATCTAAAGCCAGAGAGAAAAGAGATGATGAGTGGTGAGGACGGAGAGGACAAATTGGAGAAGAGAGGGCCTGGGAGAAATGCGGGTTATCTCCAAAGAGCAGCAACACGACAGGTGGCTGGTCAATAGAACAGAAACAGGATGCCATCGGCAGAATGAATGTACAGGTGAAGCTCCCTAATCAATATGCTTGACCTGGGCCTCCCTGGTGGCACAAGGGGTTAAGCACCTCACTATGAAGCAATCCTCAGCCTCTGCAGCACAAGTTCAATCCCCAGCTGGCCAGGGAGAAACCCACATGGTGAGGCAGACCTCTCCTGTCTTGACCGCTGCTCCCCTCAGCAGTGTATTTCAGTCAATCTGCCTGTTCTGTTCCCCACTCTGTCTCTGGTGGATCCTCTCACCCCGGGCATCTCTGGCCTGTACCCCAGCTCTTGTATGCATAAATAAATAAATCTTTAAATAAAAATGCTTGACCTGACTTTACATTTGGTTACTTTTTCTTAGCTTTTTTCTCTATTTTATTGAAATGGAACTTACACACAGTAAAAGGCACAAATCGTAAGCATACAATCCAATGTGTATTTACCTCTCAGATCAAGCTGAGAATGCTCCTGGCACTGCAGCCACTGCTGCCTCACTGGACCGGAGCTGGGGGGTGGGGGGGGGCCTCACGGCTGACGTGGGCAGAGGAGCTGAAGCAACAGGGAGATGCAGCTGGGAAGCCCCAGCTAAGGAAATTATAAAGGATTTCAGGCATTTGGGCCAGCGAAGCTAAAGGCTGGGGCAAGATCATTAGGTGTGCTAAGAACGAACATGCACAGGCCCGGAGCTTACCCTGTGGTGGCGGGATGAGCAGCTACAGGAAGGAGCATTTCAGTTCAGCATAAAATGCTTCCTACACCTAGTGCTGACCCACACTGGAAGCAGCCCACCAGGAAATCATGAGGTCCCCATCAGAAAGGGTGTCAGTCAAGAAGAGGACTGACAAGCATTTCTCAGCAGTGATGGGGTGGGGGGCAGGAACTCATTGGCGATTGTTCCTTCCAGCTCTGAGCTTCTACAGTTCTGGGAGTCTGTGAAAGCGGCAGAGAGGACAATGATTATGATTTGGTGTCTGTGTGTATGTGTGTGTGTATTTTTTCCCCAGAGGACAACTTTTTTTTTTTTATTTTAATAATAAATTTTATTTTTATATTCCCCATACAATTGCAGCCCCCCCCATTCTGACCCCAATCTCTCCCCTCCCACCCCCGCCCCCTTAAAAGTGTCTCTGGTTCGTAGTTTTTTGTTGATTTTGATTTTCACTTTCTTATAGTTATTCGTTTTCCTGGTCCCTTATTTAAGTTTTCTAGATTCCTGCTATGAGTGAGACCATCCGGTATTTTTCTTTTTCTTTCTGGCTTATTTCGCTGAGCATGATCCCTTCCAGCGCCATCCATGTTGCTGCAAATTGCATGTGTTTATCTTTTTTGAATGCTGAGTAATATTCCATGGTATATATGTACCACATCTTCTTGATCCAGTCATCTATTTTTGGGCATTTGGGCTGTTTCCAAAGCTTAGCTATTGTAAACAGTGCTGCTATAAACATAGGGGTGCAGGTGCTCTTTGGAATTGATGTTTCTGTGTCCTTTGGGTAAATACCTAGGAGTGGAATTGCTGGATCATATGGAAGCTCTATGTTTAGTAGGTCCAGAAATCTCCACACAGCTCTCCACAGTGGTTGGACTAGTTTGCACTCCCACCAACAGTGCAGAAGATTTCCTTTTTCTCCACACCCTCGCCAACATTTGTTGTTGCTAGTTTTTTTTTTTTAATTTTTTATTTTATTTTATTTTTTTTTATAGAGGCATGCTTTATTTATTTGTTTGCTGGTTTGTTTGTTTGTTTTGTTTATACATGCACTGGGTACAGTCAGAAGCGCGGGAGGGTGAGAGAATTCACCAAAGCCAGAGCAGAGAGCAGAGCAGGCAGAAGGACCGAAGTACACTGCTGAGGGGAGCAGCGGGCGGCAGGAGAGGTCTGCGCGCCATGTGGGACCCTCCTCTGGTGGCCGGGGAGCAGCCGGGGATCGAACCGGCGCCGCAGAGGCCGCGTGCAGCTTCGCAACCCAGCGCTCAACCGCTGCGCCACCGGGGAGGCCCTGTTGTTGCTAGTTTTTTTAATATGTGCCATTCTCACTGGTGTAAGATGGTATCTCATGGTAGTTTTGATTTGCATTTCCCTGATGACAAGTGATGTTGAACATTTTTTCATATGCCTGTTGGCCATTTTCATTTCCCCAGAGGACAACTTTTTAAAAAATTTAGTTAAGGGCCTCCCCGGTGGCGCAGCGGTTGAGCGCTGGGTTGCGAAGCTGCCTGCAGCCTCTGCAGCACCGGTTCGATCCCCGGCTGCTCCCCTGCCACTGGAGGAGGGTCCCGCATGGCACGCAGACCTCTCCTGCCGCCCGCTGCTCCCCTCAGCAGTGTACCTCGGTCCTTCTGCCTGCTCTGCTCCCCGCTCTGGCTCTGGTGAATTCTCTCGCCCTCCCGCACTTCTGACTGTACCCAGTGTTTGTATAAATAAATAAATAAATAAATAAATCTTAAAAAAAAGTAACAATGGGAATTCATTTAAAAAAAAAAAAAAATTTAGTTAAGCATACAAGAACTGGGGTATAGGCCAGAGGTGCAGGGGGCTGGTGAGAGGATATACCAGAGACAGAGTGGGGAACAGAATAGCTGTCTTTAATCCTTGCGCCAGCAGGGAGGCTCCCTAGAGGACAACTTTTTCTTAATCACAATTGCTATGCAGGTTGGTCATTACCACCATTTAATAAGTCACTCTTGTCACCTATGGCCTGAGCAGAGGCACCCTAGGTGTGCCCCTCTGGTGCTCAGACTTGCGTGGTTGGAGCAGATGCTGGGACACCCCTTTGAGTAGAACCACTGCTGGCAAGAGAAGTTGGTTGCCCCTAACTCATACCAACTTGTCCTGGGGACACCCACCCACAGACCTCCTCAGCCAGCCCAGCCCTGGTCTACCTGGTGAGTGAGTAACATCCCCACACCCGCCCAACCCCCACCCCCCAACTCCGAGCACGGGCTGGAGCCACTAGGACACAGAGGAGACGCCTTCCTGATCTGCTCCAGGGCCCAATGCAGGAATGGTGTCTGGATTCCCTCAGGAACAGGACCACACAGGACCCATCCGTCCCAGGGCCACTTGTGGGGAAGGGCAAGGACTCCCATTCTGGAGGCCAACACTCTCCAAGCCCACCCCATCTGGCTTTTTCTTTTTCTTTTTTAAAGATTTATTTATTTATGCACACAAGAACTGGGGTACAGGACAGAGGTGCAGGGGTGAGAGGATTTACCAGAGACAGAGTGGGGAGCAGAACAGGCAGACTGACTGAAATACACTGCTGAGGGGAGCATCAGGGAGACAGGAAAGGTCTGCTGCACCATGTGGGTCACCTCCCTGGCTGGGGATCGAACTCGTGCTGCAGTGGCTGCGGATTGCTTCGTAGGTTGCATCTTAACCCCTTGCGCCACCAGGGAGGCACCCATCCGGCTTTTTCCAGGAAAAAAAAAAAGTAATTTTCCTAGGATCCTCCTTTTCTTGTAGAGGGTTATTTCAGAACTCCTCTTAGGATTCTTGCAGGTCGCCACCAGGGGACAAGTACAGCTCTCTCCATCCGGCACCTGTTCAGGGCACAGGCAGATGCGCAGTTGAAGACAGGCTCTCAGCCCGCGCGGGAGCTCAGAGCCAAGCCGAGGAAGGCAGAGCTGGCGCCGAGTTTTCCCATGGAAAGCGTAGTGGGCTCACCCTCTCTTCGGTCTGATGAAAACCACGACTACTCTCCCAGGAAAAACTGTGGGTGGATTTTGCCTTCTATTCCGGGGAGATGGGGCTGCTGTCCGACCCTCGACGTCCACTTGTGAAGCCCCAAGATTTAAGCGGACGGGCTGGGGGTTTCCTACATCGCCAAAACCCAGTTTGGCTGGGTTTCGGGTGATGGGGGGAGGCTTGTAGCTCTCCCGTGCCAGGGGGTGCGCGGGGAGACCCTGCTTTCCAGCCGCGGGGTACATTCAGGCCTCCCGGGTTTTGGTATGCCCAACTCTAAAACGGGGCTCAGGCCCCTCGGACCGTGGGGGCGGTAAGAGGAGGCTGGCGGTCCCGGGGCCGGGGAGGAGAGCGGGGTGATGAGCTGCTCCCGATGCCCGGGGCGGGCGAGCCGGTGTCCCGGCGGGCGCCCGGCCCGGCACGAGAAGGCTCGGCCAGGACGCGGGGCCTGGGCGGCAGCCGAGCCCCCGCCCCGCATCGCGGGCCCGAGGGCGGGGCCCCTCGCCGGGGGCCGCCCCGCCCAGCCCCTCCCTCCCGGCCGCCGGCCTCCCCAGCCCCGCCGGCCCCCGCGGACTGGCGGGCGGGCGGCGCGGCACTCGGGCACCGGCGCGCGCTCCCAGCCAGCCGCCGCGAGCCCGCCAGCCGGGGCCATGGGCTGCGACGGCCGCGTGTCGGGGCTGCTCCGCCGCAACCTGCAGCCCACGCTCACCTACTGGAGCGTCTTCTTCAGCTTCGGCCTGTGCATCGCCTTCCTGGGGCCCACGCTGCTGGACCTGCGCTGCCAGACGCACAGCTCGCTGCCCCAGATCTCCTGGGTCTTCTTCTCGCAGCAGCTCTGCCTCCTGCTGGGCAGCGCCCTCGGGGGCGTCTTCAAGAGGACGTGAGTGCCGCCCGCGCCCGCGCCCCCGGCCCGCAGCCCGCGCCCCCGCGCCCCCGCGCCGCGCGCCCCTCCCCAGCCGCCCCCTCGCCCGCCGCGCGCGTCCCGGCCCGCGCCGCCGCCCCGCCCGGGACCCGGGCTGCCCTCCTAGCCCCCGCGCTCCCGCCAACTCCCCGGAGACTGAAGGTGACTTCTGGATTATTTATTCGCCTTCACTCACCCCCGCGAGGGGAAACCCGGCTCTCCCCGCCGCCCCGCCCGCTCCCGGCGGAGAGCGGCGCTGGGCTTCGGAGGCGGGAGGACCCCCTCCTGCGCTGCGGGGTGCGGTGGGTCGGCGGCCCTGGCTGCCGGGGGCGGGACTGGAGTGCGGAGAGAGGAGAGTGGGAGTGTCACCTCAGGGGCCCTGCGCGTTCCTGGAGCTGGCTGTGACTTGACAGCGCCCTGGGGCGGGCCCGCCTCAGCCTGCCGGCGCGGATCGGCTGACACAGGCTGTCCCTTCTCCCGGGTGGCCGCGGGCGAGTGGGTCTGTGTGGCCCTGGTCCCGGGGGAGCCAGGGTGCCTGCCATGGCGCCAGGAGGCAGGGCCCTTCGGCCCCTAAGACGCGTAGTGCCTCACCTCTCCGGCCGCGTCGGGGAGCGCAGGTGTCTCGCAGGGAAGGTGACCCTCCATCCCTGGCGCCAGGGTCCTGCTCCGTCCGCCTCCCCCACCCCAACTTCCTCCTGTGCCCCAGGCAGGGCTCTGGATTCTGCCTGACGCGCACCCAGAACTGTCCCTTGGACACCGTTGCAGCGCGTCACAGTCCCGGCTCAAACCGGACAGAGCCCCCTCGGAGGCAACCATTGGAAAGGCAGCGGGATTCACCCTCCCAGTGTGTCGAAAACAGAGCCTCAAAGCAGGCAGTAGAGGAATTGCAAACCGAGGCTGCTGGAGATCACCTAGTCCCAGCTCCCTGCCTTAGTTTCCTGGACTGCAGGGTCTGTAGTCAGCAGTGGGCAGGGGAACAAACCACTCCCCATCACCCCAAGGAAGCCTCTGGGGGCCCACCTGGGCCCAGGACTCTCCCCTCTTTGGCTCACTCCTGGCAGTGTCCCAAGGGTAGGCTAGCTTGTCCAGGTCTCTGGGGAGCTGGTGGAGAGGAGCACGGTGTCATAGATGGACCCCACCTTGTCTCCCAATTGACAAAACACTATCAGCTAGGGAGTGTTACCAAAATCCTCTTGTCAACCAAAGAATTCTCTTCAGAAGCAAGCCTTCTTGTGTACACTAGTGTTTCTGTGGGTTTGGTGGAGTTGGGTGTCACAGGGATTCAGGAAGAAACTGAAGATCCACTCGAATTCAGCCTAGAGGTTTAATAAAAGATCTCTCAGGATTTTTTGGTAATAAATATTTTTGATTTACAAAAACTTCCTTCCCTGGAACATTTCAGAAACTTGAAGTGCGCACAACAGGAAAGGGGATGAGGATAGTTCTGAATGGTGGTGGGTGCCCCAGGGTTTGTGAAATCAGCAGAGACACACACCTGCTGGGCTATCTCTTCCTCACTTGCCTTGTGCCTCCCCTGGGCTCCTTACACAACTGGAGGCCCAGGGAAAGCAGCACACAGAAAAGAAAATTGAAATGGTAACAATAATCGCTTTATTGATCACTTACTCTGTGCCAGACATGGTTCTTAATACCTCACATATATCAACTCATTTAATCTTCACAACAGCCCTGTAAAGTACACTATTCTGTCCATGCCCCAGGACCCACAGCTAATAGGAGGCCTAGCTGGGATTTGAACCCAGGGATTTGTCTCTGGAACCAGATAATTTGGAAATGCCTCTTGCTTTATGAACAGTCAACTTCATTCTACAAGGCACAAGTTACATTCTTAGTATCAGGCACAGGCTTGGCACCCGGATCCTTGTGGACATTCATGGCCTGAGTTTTCATGAGTGACATTGTTGGGAAGGAAACTGGGCCTCTGGGGCTTCCTGCTGGGATCCCAGGACTGGGGGTGGGGTGGGGAAGACTAGCTCCTATCAGTGGTTCAGACCTTAATTCTGAACCCCAGCCCTCCCACCCTTAAGGCAAAAATGTCATAAAAAACCCTCTTTCGTTCTTATTTTGATTAATAAGCAAAGCAGACTTCCATTGGAAATGGAGGCCTGTGTATAGGCAGGAGTCACCATCTAGTTAGGGCTAGGCAGCTTATGATAATCTCCCCTCCCCCAAAACAAACCACCTCCACCAGCCCTGACACCCACCTCTAAAGCTTGATTCCTGGGGACCTCACTTGGGCTCAGCTGAAATGCTAATACCCCTGCAAGTACTTTTCAGCTTAAGTGATTACCAGCGTGCTGCTAGGCTAGTACTCTTGACTAGGGGATTGGTTTAACAAATCAGAGGGCCAGCTGTTTCGGGGGTGTGTGGAGGGGTGCAGCAGGATGCTGGGAGAGAAGTGGGGCAGCGCCTCTTTATTTGATCACGACCAGCCTACTACCTGGCCCAGACTGGGGAGAGCTAGACTGGGGTTGTGGATGCGTGGTGGGGACTGCCTGTCCGGAGCCTAGATGTTAGAGTGGGTGCAGGGGAGGATGGGGCCCTCTGTCAGGGCAGCAGCAACTCCCTCTCTGGCTTCTGCATAGAACAGATCTGGAAGGAAGCCATCATATATAAGCCAAGAGTAGAGAGGGGTGCAATTAGGGCCAGAAGAATCTAGACTAGACCTTTCTTAGCAAAACCTTGCTTATCAAGAGCAGGAAACTGGTCAGAGAAGAGGAAAAACAAGGCCACCTGGTTGGCAGGGAGTATAGGTATGTGCTTTGTCAGACGAAAGGTTAGGAATTTTTTTCCTGGTTTCTTGGAGACCTGTCTGACTTCCCTGGGCAGTTGTCTAGACCCCTTTATCTCAAAGGCATCAGGGTAAGTAATGACTTCCAAAGCCTACCCAGCCTCTCCTGGCCTCACCTTGGCCTGTCCCCTACATGAGCCCTCTTACCTGAAGGCTCCTTGAGTTCTTCCTCTCTTTGCCCTATTCACTATCTCCTTTTTTTCTCAAATTCCTGCAAATCCTGCCTTGCCCAAGACCACCCCCCTCCCCAGGCTCCCTCCTGCCCTTTGCATGAAACTCAAAGCCCCTCTCAGACCTGCTTCCCCAAGTTGCCGACCCTTTGTGGTTGAGGGAACACAATACAAAAGTTGTCTCTTATCTAGAAGCCTCCGCCTTTCCCTCCATCTTGCCCTCTTTTCAGCTGGCAAGACCTGGGCCAAAAACCTACCCAGGGCCTGGCACCAGACAAGGCTCTTGCTTTAAAAACCCATCTTGACATGGAGTTGCCGCGTGACCCAGCAGCTCCACTCTTGGGTGTAGGTATCAAAGAACCTAAAAGAGGTCTGCCCCAAACTTGTAGGTGAATGCTCATGGCAGCAGTATTCATAATAGCCAAAAAATAGAAGCAAGTTACACACCCGTGGACGGGTGGATGGGCAAACCAAAAGAGGCCCATCCAGGCAAGAGAACATTGTACAGCCCTTTAAGGGAAGGACATACTGTCCATGTGGAACTTGGAGGCATCTTGAAAATAACATTATGCTAAGTGACAAAGTCGGCATGCCCTCTGGGTGAGGCGGAGCACAAAAGGCACCTCTGTGATGCCATTCATGATCAGAATAGGAAAATCTATAGATCCATAAAGTAATTTAGATCTGCAATTGGGAGTGGGTGTGAAGGGGAACCGAGAGTGAGTGATGACTGGTACAGGGTTTCTTTTTGGGGGTGGTGGAAAGCTTTAAACTTAGATTGTGGTGATGGTTTCAAGATTCTGAATGTATCAATACTAAAAGCCGTTAAATAGCACATTTTTGATACTTGAATTGCACGGACAGATGAACTTTATAATATTTCAACTTTTTAATTGAAAATATATAAACTCAGGCAGTTTGCTCGCTTGAGAGAGCCATGGACACAAAGATCTGAGGGAGAGGTGTTCCATGGGGGCAGGACTGCAAGGCCAGCCCCATCTCAGAGGCGTGCCCAGTACCCCATAGGGAGGGGGATGTCCAGCCTTAGGATGGGATCTCCCCAAGACAGGCTTGCCTACTCCTACCTCTGGGTGGGTGCCCCAAGCCTTAACTCAGGGCCCTGAATAAACTGGGTTGTCAGCGTGAACACTAGGCATGATACTGTTTGAGGCGACCTCTCTCTCCCTTAGTCACCCCTTCCACATCCCCTGTATCCCCTGGTTGGAGCTGCGCCCAGGGAGTGCCCTGCCTCCTGGATTCTTCCTTTTTTTTTTAATTTTATATATTTTTTACACCATTTTTCATTTTTGTACAATGTATGCATTTTCATCTTGGAATGCATTTCAATTATCTACAGTCCCCGTACAATTCCCATCACCCTTGTTTTGATCCTACTCCCTTCTCCCCCCGACCTGTAGTGTGTCTCTGGTTTATAGTTGCTTGTTGATTTTGATTTTTAATGGACTATTACTCAGCAATCAAAAAAGATAAACACATGCAGTTTGCAGCAACATGGATGGCGCTGGAAGGGATCATGCTCAGCGAAATAAGCCAGAAAGAAAAATACCGGATGGTCTCACTCATAGCAGGAATCTAGAAAACCTAAATGAGGGACCAGGAAAAAGATGAATTATAATAAAGTAAAAATCAAAATCAACAAGCAACTATAAACTTCCTGGCTTCTTATCCCTCAGTCCTGTCTCTGGGGGGTGTGCCTGTCCCCTTTGGGAGAGGTGGGGAGGAGGTGAGGATGCCTCTAACTCCTCTCCTCTCTCCTGGTCCTTTGAGAAAGGAGATCTTCCAGGGTACACAGATGGATCCCATAAAGCAAAATGTGAGGGAGAATGTCAGTGCTGCCAGGCTGAGGTCGCTCACTCCCAGGAGGCAGGGGGCTGGCCCTCACCACATTCTTCCCCGCCCTGGGGAGTGGGGAGTGGGAGGGGTATCTTACTGTCTGGAGAGACATCTTACTGCTCCAACCTTTCACCCATTTCGGA